GCAGCAGTTACAAGTTTCTGAAATACATAAACACACGCATCCAGATGTGCTCTATTCTCCTAGCACAGCCAAACACCAGCAAGATGCTCAGCTGGGTGAACAACGTCTCGCATTTTGCCAGTCATCTCAATTGAGCGGTCAACTGCAGCTTCACCTTCTCATGCAGCGAGCACTGGCATGAGCTCAAACCACTGCAGCTTCTAGTCGTGATCTGAGCCAGCCATATGGCAACAACTTTGTGTTGAGACCAATTCAGAACACCTACAGCCCATAAGAGCCTACTCAGGCTGCGATTCTGTGTTTACTTAGTTATGAAAATATGAACATTCTGGAAAAATGCAGGGATATCCAGCAGCTTCAGCTGCAATTAAAAGCTTATAGTTAAGCTGTCTAGAAGGCCTGCTCTGAGCATGGAGTGCCAAAGCACTACTACCCAGGCCACATTCACATTCCTATTTTTGAACATGTTGTTCAGCACAGCTGGTTGAGACACTTCAGATGCTCCAGAGAGGTTAAGAGGCAGAGTTGATCTGACTATTGATAAATCACTTCAAAGCTATCAGTGCTTGAAGGATTTACATCAACTCCAGCAAGTTCTGATCACCTTCCTTGGCAAAAGCTGTCAGAGTCAAACCTGAAAAATAAGAGATCAAGGTGAGGACAGAAGTATTAGTAGAGCTCTGATAGCTAAAGTTAGCAACACATTTTTCCTGCATGTTTAAAGCAATCTCTGCAGTTCCACACTGCTCAGTCTTCAAACAGAGCAATGCACACATGAGGCTCACCACAGATGCAGTCATTGTGCTTCAGCAAAAAGAACCTAAAAACTACATCTAGTCAGAACCTAATGTGTAGGTCTGTGCCCCAGCACCGTTAACTTGGTGACTAGAATTTCAAGAACTGAGTTCTTGCAAGCATGGTATATCATGAGGACAAGCTGCTTCTACATCATCTTCTTTTGCTGCAAATATAATGGTGTAGGGGAGCAAAATACTCAGTCACCTGCTGTTCCATCAAGCAAGCATGAAGTCTACATTTGAGAAGAGCCTATTCCAAACCCACTTTAAGTATAAATTATTTCTCTTCTTCACCTGTCACTTTATAGTACATTTCATGGACACAATGGGATCTGCGCGCCTCCTCAGGACATGCTGCTTCCATGAGAAAAACTAAATACAATTACTTCAGATACAACTTGAAGGGTGTACAAACATTCCAAGAATAAGAATGTTAATCCCTTAATTTTTATTCACTGGAAATGTAACAGCCTCTTACAGACGAAGACTATTGACTACAGTGCTAGGCAGCAAGCACACCTAGAAGTAGTTATCTTCATTCAGAACAGCCATGCCCCCACATACAATAACCCCAATTAGTATGGTATGTTGCATTGGGAACATTATGTATGTAGTTAACCTATTTTGTAAGCTACATTAAGGTATCCAACAAAGACTTAAAGATAAATTGTTATAAGAACACACAGCAAAACTTATTCATTAAGTGAATATATGCATTTACAAGCCAAATAAAAATTGTTTCTTGAATTTCAGTCCCAGAGTGCCTATTTCAAAGGTTCAAATTTCTATGGCAACATTCCCATTAAGCACCAGGAAATCTTGGATTAGACCTACTTATATTACAGCATGATTTCAATTATGATTCCAGGAAGCCCATTTGAAAAGCTCCTGTCTTTCAAAGAAGTTATCTTCCAGGCTGTGACCAAACAACATTTAAGCTTCTAAGGAAAGAATTGCAGGTTTTTTCCATTATTATCATTAAGATGCATTACAGTCAGGAAGCCTGAACACCACCATGGAGGTTTCAGGACAGAAAGTACAAAGTTGAATATAACCTTTATGCAAGGCAAAGAGAGACATACAGAAAGACAAGACATACCTTGGCTCAGTAGTAAAAAAGGTGTTTCACCTACAAAGATCTTGATCAGGCAATCATCTGGTCTTGTCCACTTCTACTCAAGAAGCACATATCAAAATGCAGCAATGCAGGCAACAGGAAAACCAGTGAGTCATATTATTGATCAAACGTACCTGTAGGCCTGCCAGAAGTGGTGACCATCACCAGCAGTCCTTGACTGCCAGAGGCAGCATATCCCTGTATCCTCCTCAGAAAGAGCTGTGTAGTTCTACCTCACTCTAAGAGGTACAAGGTACCTCTGCAACATGTTAGCACGAAGTCTACGTCTTGCAGTATAATTCTGCTGCAAAACAGTCCCAAACCTGCATTCCACAAAGACCTGAAGTTAGTGGTGAAAAAACAGCCTTAATCTGCTTGGAGCTTGTTACCTGAAATGCAGATCATGCTCACAGCTTTGTCATTTTCTGGTCCAGCTAGTTCAAACCCTGAACTAAGTTTTCTACAAGAAATTTGTGAGTCCCAAAATTTCTACGATGGCACACTGGCCTCTGTTGTCCAAGTGACGTGAGCTTCACTATAGCTTAGCCCCACTGTCTGAACTGCTGTGGTCCTACCCTTCCTCATCACATCAGTCTTCCACTGTGCTGCCACCAGCTCTGCCAATATGTGCCAAAAACCAGCTTAGGCATCTGATCCAATCCAAGTTTCATAAAGGATAAAGTAGTGAAGGACACAATCTCTTCTCTCCTCTTGAAGCACTGTTTTAACAGCTGAGCTGTAGCTTCCACCCTTTTGTTACAGGCCAAGACAAAGCACTTGACCAAAGAGGCAAAGCTCAGTTTTATGAGAGAGAAGTCTTTGCTTATCTCGGTTATCAAAAGTATAAAGTATTCCAACAAGTGATAAGGCAAAGAAACCAGAGCTTGTTTCAACTAGAAAGTAAGAAGCTCAGTACACATGAACATATAACTTAGATAAGGTGTTATAATACAGCTCCTTTTACTTAACTTCAGTATTTTGCAAGCAAGCAGGATTTAACCTCACTGACAAGCAGCAACATATTCACAGCTGGTTTTGTTCACTGATTATATACACCAAAGCTATAAGGCTAGAAAACAAAAAAAAGAGTACCACTGTTTGAGCTAAAAATAAACACAACCCTAGCATACTGAGCAAGACATCTAGCCAGTAAAATGGGGGACCTGTCAGAACTGGCCGACTCTGCTAGCAGGAAAACTTAGGTTCATTCCTCTACTCAAATAAAAAAACAAACGTAAGAACTAGGGTGAGCCATTTACTACAATCAGTAATCACAAATTTTATAGAAATCCTGTTTTGCAATCAGTTTTCTGGGTCTACTACCCTGCAGTCACAGGCAGCAAATCAAATGCCAGAGGTAGAAGGGCAAACAAGACTACAACAACAGACTTAGGATAACCTGGAGCTGCCTCAAAGTTTGATATTTTAATACCATGGTGTACAGATGCGCAGACTTTCACAAAAAAACCCACATACACTGGTTTGATTTTATTAATTTAAAATGTTGAGGTAAAAATAGGATTTCATCTTCAAGAGTTAAACCAGGCATCAACACAACTAGATGCTGTAGACCAACAGGCAGAGATAACACGCTATGATTACCACTTAACTCCACTGTCACTGGTCAGGAAACAAAGCTGCCCACCAATGGCATCCCTGTTGTCACCAGTGATCTGGCAGAGCAGATTTGCTGCTGGATAGTGTACATGGACAGCACGCCCATGACATCAACATAATAAATGGCATTAAGAAGCTGCACGGTGACTCCAGAGGGCTCTTACTTCTGCATCAGTGCCTGCTCTAATGCAATCAGACTCTCCACCTTCCCCTGAACACTGTCAGCAATCATCTGCTGAGTCATAGAGCCTGTGGGGACACCAGGAGCTGCAGGGCCTGCAGCTGCAACCTGCGCTCAGCCTGCTGCAGAGCAGAACACTCCAATCCCAAGCACACAGCAGTGCAGCACTGTCAGCCCACATAAACACCTGGCAAAACCCTTTAAACCCCAGTGCAACAAGGTAAGCCTTATATGAAGTACATAATATCTTAGCATCTAGCATAAACACAGTAAAACTTAAGCCTTAAAAAACCCCACAGTCTTTGCAATTCCCCCACACAAATAAGGCAAGTTCCCCTATTCCCACCCTCTCACACCAGGGCAGTCACAGGTGTGCCCAGCACCTCGTCATTGCAAAAATCAGACACTGGCACATGAAGATTATTTGTCTGGCTTCAGAAAGTCCCATATTAGTATTTCAAGACAGTTAAGTTTCAAGGTTAAGAACAGGACACCCAAGAAAATATTTCACTGCTAGCATTCAGGGCAGCTCACACTTAACCTTCATCAGCTGGCACAGGTTATCAGTTTCAGACCATACCTTTCTCCACTGTGGGTGTTTCCATTTATCTGAATATTTTTCTGCCCTAGAGCACTTTATAGATACATTTTTTTCAGTGAGAACAAGCTCTAAAAATTAGAATCTCAGAACATGCAAGCTCTAAGCCAGTGGATATTTCAAGATCCAGCTCTCAAATTAAACTAGAAGTAATTATGACTGCAGCTCACCATGCCAAATACACAGACACAAGAAGCAGTATTCAATACAGATTACTTCTATCTGAGGGGAAAAAAGTAAAAGTCTTGCTACTAGAGCAAACTAGACATCTGCTTTAGAAAATTAATCCTTGGGAAAAATACATGGCATAATTAAGAGCTTTTTCAGCTGCCAGCACTGAATGATGCATGATTTGTGCTGAGCTCTTCACTGTTCTTACTTGGTTATGATAACTCTCTTAGGTACAAACACTTAAAGCATTTTCTCGATTCACATCAAGATCTGAATACTAGAAAAAAGTTTGGTTTATTCAAATGCTACTAAAAAGCCACATTTAAAAGTGAAAAATGCTTAGTAAGTGCTCAGACTTGTTACTAAGCCACAGTACCCCTTGGAATGACCTCTTCCAAATATTCATTATTGACCTTCAGTGCAGTTAATCTATATAGAGCTGGCACAGCAAAAAGGCTGCTGCTGCATGTAATTTAATAAGCATAGACTGCAACACAAACAATGAAAAAACAGACTGACCTTATGTTTAGCATGCTGAAATTTTGACCCTTCCTGCTCTTCATGCTGCACCGAGTCAGCTCTCTCTCTCACACTTCTATACCCAGGACTGGGTATAATGTACTCTTTTCCTATGTCGATGTCTTTCATCTTCTGTAAACGCCAGGGTTTACACGTGTATTTTCACCTCAAATATCTGAAAAATAATGAAATTCCATTTTGTTATATGCTATACCCAACACACAAGTGCCTTTCAGTCACTTAAAGTTTATTTTTTAACTAAAAATCAGAAAGCAACTGTAAAAGAGTTTTATTATAACAGGACTTGAATAATGTGACTTTGGAAACCCACACAAGACTAATTTCTCCTGAACTAGTTTAAACATACCCTGAGGTAACCAAATACTACAATTACCAGAGTACTGTCGTACTTCCTCCCTCAGAACTCCAAAATACAATTATGCAATCTGACAGATTAAAGTGATAGCTACAGTATTGAGTTGAACCCTTGAGAAACGTGACTTGGAAGATCAAATCTCTGAAATCTTTTGTTACTGTTTGCAGTTGCACATACCCAACAACTTACCGGTACAAAGTTTTGCAAAAACTGATGTCTCTAGAGACGGCAAGTGATAAAATGAGTCATTCCACACACACTCTAGAGAAACATATATCCCTCCTCTATAGCGTTATTCACTTACACCATAGGCTAGCACTATCATTAAGCATGAACATGCACAGGAAGGAGTCACATCTTCAGTGCTGCAGGTTTGCCCTCAACCTATCAAACTGCACCATAAGGTCAGGAGGAGAATCAGAGTCCTGAAAAGAAAAAAATCACCTCCCACTGCAAGATACAGTTTTATTACTCTGCTTTATTGCCTTCTGTCACTCTCCTTAAAACTAACACAATAGAAGCCTGATGAAGTTACATTCAGTCAGAATCGCCATCAGGTTTGGCTGGGTGCACTGGGCTCTCACCTCCAGAAACTGCTCCCTGCCCATCCCCGCTGACACGGGTACC